CGGTAACTCTGAAACTCATCTATTAGTCATTTCCTCAAAGGAAAATGTCAAAAGTTTTGAAGAGTCAGTCTGTGGTTTGGTTTGGTCAAACCTCAACATTTCAACCTGTTCAAACAAATACCAGTGAAACGGGAAGTGGAATGTGTGAATTATTTAGTGGTTTTAGTTTAACTTCCATGTGTGGAGTCTTGATGGAAACTTGAAGAAGTAAAATCTAAACAAAAATGTGTTTCCTATCTCCTGCCTGTTATTTTGTTCTTGTGTAATCATTGAAGCAGAACTTTCTTTGTTCGACTCTTCAACAGCCAAACATGGAGGTGATGGAGAAACCAGTTCCATTCTTAACCACAGCGTTTTCCTCACTCACACGCAGCAGTGAGAACTCTTTCATCTCCGGCCCATGTGTCAGCTCCAGTCACTGTTGTTGCTTTGTTTCACTTCACAGGGCCCACGTCCACTGAAGCATACAAATACATGATCACACGTGCATTCACACACATACACACACACATACACACATTCCCACTCAAGGAGACCACCTCAGCACAGCGAAGAGTGGAAATAAAGCAAGAACGCAGCACAGAATTCTGACAGGAAGCTTGTCTACACTCTGTCCGTTGTTATCTCTAATTAGATGTTCGCCGACTGTGCAGCTGCACTCGCCTCTCGCTGCACAATTTGCTGAAAAACACCCTGCGCTCGATAAGCAGTGTCCGCTCTGTTATGAAGAGACGTTCTGCACGAGCATCAGACTGAGACGCAGCACACACACACACACACACACACAGAGCTGTACATGTGTGTGTGAAACACAGCGAACACGACACGAACAACAGTAACAAGATGTGATGCCAAAAAACCCAGCTCTGGTAAATTCACCAAAAAACAAAACCGTGCATTTACAGTTCTAGTCTTCTGCTAAAGGGCGCTCCTCTGAGGGAGCCAATCATCTGCCTCCATCTCACCCCGTCTCTCACCTTTATTCCTCCAACATCAAACACCTTATTTACTGTAGGTGTCAAACTCATTTTGGTTCAGGGGCCGCATTCAACCTAATTAGATGTCAAACGGGCCGGACCAGTACAATCACAACATAATTACACACAAATTACAAAAAGTCCATCGTTTTCCCTCTGTTTTCATGCAAAAAAAGTACATTAGATAAACTGGAACTGATGAAGTTCCTCAGTCGAGGAACAAATCGTCTTTCAATCTCCAAGAAGAAGTCCAGTTGCCTACAACTAAACTTTGGATGCAGTAGACAAATCTTCATTTTACAAAACATAAATAAAGTGGGACGGATTGAAACCCCATGTGGGCCGTTTATGGCCCGCGGGCCGTATGTTTGACACCCTGTGCTGTAGACCTTTACTACATCCAACATCCTCCATCCAATCACACTCCCAGTCTCTTCTCAGCAAATGTCCAACCGCATCCCCCGTCATTTCCACATCCAGATTATTCAAGACGGTGAGTCAAATAATAAAAAAAAAAAAAAAAGTTTTTTTTTGGCATCTCCTCCATGTTTCAGTCTCCTGTCTTCTGTCGTGTTTCCATCGGAGAATTCCTTCTCTGTAGAATTATGGAGGCGCACATGCTCCAGGATCTGTAGTCATATCGTTGCCTTGTAAATGCCACCAAAGACTTCCCCCAGAATTCTACAGAGAGGGAACTCTCTGATGGAAACACGTCTTAAAGATGTGTTCAGACCTACAGTATATGAAGGTAAGTAATTTAATAATTTTATTGGTTATTAATTAAAATAAAACTTTTTTTAAATTGAGTTTAAGTACTTCTGGACTTGCCCTGGTTTATATATGAAACGTAATTGAACTCTGTGGTCTGTGACACTGAAGCTGCAGTCACTCTATGGAGCTCATGATTTCTTGATGTAATAAAGAGAAGATAAGGGTGAGAATAAGGGTGAGGTTACCCCAGAAGGGTAAGAAAAAGGAGGTGGTCAGCAGTCTGAAGATGAAAAATGTACACGGAGACTGAGAAAATCAATCACGGTGTGTGTGTCCCACTACAACAGTGTCTGAAAGAAACACACACACAAACCCGACTCTGTAGTGAAGTGCTCACACACTCCGTTTGTGTCCAGTTCTGTCACCTGACACACTTCAAAGGGGTTGAAAAATGGAGCATTACTCACACCTCAGTGCTGAGTTTAAGGCTGATACCCCACCAGGGCGACACTCGGGGTAATTATGTGGTGGTATTCAGGTGGCAGGAAAATGGATTTTACGTCAGCGCGGCTACTCTCTGACCTTCATTGCTTTCACACCAAAGCCTGCTTTTTATTCACACCGTTCGACGTGTTCACACTGGGAACCGTCTGGTGCCGTGGACGTCCACTGGGGCGGCGACATTTTTACAACCCAAAGGTTGGTCACTGGCAGGTTTCCAGTGTGTCGGCGCTGCACACCGGCTGGGACCACGGCCACGGGGAACAAGGAGTGCTGTTATCGATTAGCCTCTCAATAACGTGATTGAAAAGCAACCCGAGGCGGTTTGAGCCAGTCAGGCCGTCAGTAAATTCTCCCAGAACATCAGCGAAGGCAGGCTGCTTCACACCGCACGCCATCAATTCATCCATTACCTAACCTCTGTCAATCCAGGGTCGCAGCCGTAGTCAGTTTGGGCAGTTTGCTCGTTTATTACACCCAAGGTCTGGGCTTGCACCCATACTGCCTGCTGATGTGTCTCTGGGCAAGGCACTTAACCCCACTTGGCTCATCATGCCATCTACTGGCAGTCCTGAGCTGGAATAATGGCCAGAGTAGTGTCGATACTGATACTGCATTCAAATACTGCTGATCCAGCAACAATGGATGGCTTCTCCTCACAACCACAGTGGTGTATTGGCAATGATCTGACGGCACGATACGGGGCAGTGATACGATATATTGTGATACTATAGGCATGACGATATATTGAGTTTTTTTAATTCAATCAAGTTAATGTAACTGTAGTCAAACTCATCATAGCTGTTCCATCTTAACATCAGGTTACTAACATTGAAATTAATTTAAAGTCAGGAAACAGTCTCCACACGGACGTACGGCCGTGTCTTTGTGGAACATCTGACGTCTGCTCTGATCCGACAGCAGCTGCTGTACAGAACACAGAGCTGTCAGTGCCGTCAGGTGCTGCCGCGGGAAGCAGCCCATCTTCTGAGCTGACAACTGTAACAGTTCTCTTTAAAAAATAAATAAATAAATCAAGAGAAGAAATCGCTTTCAGTTCAAGGTGTTCTCTGAAGGATTTAAGACGTTACCAAAGTGAAATACAATGATGTTGAAGTGGATTAAGAATTTCCATTTTTAAGATTTTAGGGGTTTATTGTTTCAACACTGAAGAGGTTTGGTTTCACAGAGAAGGTCTTTGCGGGGGGTCCAGGGGGTCTTGGTCCAGTACTTTCTGGAGCGGGGGTCCGGGGGGTCTTGGTCCAGTACTTTCTGGAGCCCATTTTAAAAACAAGACATGAAAACAATTTTAAGCTGAAACATTTGCACATTCCTCTTCCCTCCTAATCCAAAAAGCTGAAGTCATGAGGACTGAAACACTCGACGCTCGGTTCAGTAGACTCACGTGTTTTGGTTTTTACTCCATCACGTCCGGCATGTGGTTCAGCGGAGAGGAGTTGGGTATTAGTGGTACAGTTTTCACTCACACAGTTGTTTTTTTTTTTTCAGTTTACTTTGGTGACTTTCACATTTCAAAACAGATGTTTCTGCTCAGTGCTTGGTCAGAGTCTCTCATGCGTGTGTTCCACTAACATCTGACCTACTTTCTGTGGAGCCACTCCGTTTTCCTGGAATTTTGTGCGGAGGTAAACTGTTTAGAAAAGCAAACATCCGCTCATTTATTTTTCATCACTTCATCATTCTCAGGTTCACGAGGGGAAAACAGGAACGAATTCAAACGATCACCAGAGCAGGGCGTGGTTCAACCTGGACCACGGCGGGTCCACATGAATTTAGATTGGACAATGGGAGCACGCACTCACAAGGAGAACATTTCAACTCCATAGGTTCCCAAAATGGGGGACAAGTCCCCCGAATGGGCGCCAGAGATTTTCCAATTCTCGTAATACCGCATTTGTTTGTCATTCAATTTTCTCTGTTCAATGAGATAAAACAAAGTGTATTTTAGGCAAACAAAATCCTTTTTTCAGTCCAACACAAATCTTCTTTCTGTCTGGATTTCACTGTAGAGCCACTGCATCCCAGAATATCTTACACAGCCAGGTGAAAAACCTTCAGTCAAAT